TAGCTTCATAGAAACAATAGTTAAATTCTGGTTAGCTAACAAAGATAAATGAGCACTGAAGGCTTGTGAAAGTGCAGAAAAAGTTGGGTTTGTGCTATGAAGATACAGACAAGGATACCATACCTTCAGGTAGTTAGTTGGACCAAATCTCTGGTTTCTTAAAGATGTCACGGTGTTAATACTTCCACTGTGCAGCTCTGGCAAGTGCGGTAACACTAGATAACTCATAATCTGTCTAATGGAAACAAATAGCTATGGATGCATGTCAGAATAATTAGTGTTGCGTCAAATTAATTTGATTTGTTCATTTAACAAATTGAATTGTTTCAGCTAATTACATAGCATGGCATAAATGCAATGAGAGATGCTCAGAGAAGAAAACTATTCATTTTTCCTTTCACTAAATTAATGAAACTATTAAGGAAAATGTACACTCAAACAGTGCCCAGCTTCACACGCTGAATTTTGCAACCTCCATTACGGTGTGGCTCTTCCTGGGCTTCGTGTTGGGCTGACCGATGCAGCGTCCTTCTTAGAGCCCCAAACTACTCTCTGGAGAAGCCTGTCTCAGCTGTTCTGCTCCACTACTACCCGAGCAGCCTACCTTTCTCAGTTAGATGGGGATATCTCAGCTAGGTGTGTAAGATCGCATCCCTGCCTCCTGTAACTCATGAAAAAATGGATGAAATGAAGGACTGTTCAAAATTCTAGTACATTTTCAACTTCTTGGACTATTGCCTTTTCTAATCAGGAATGACGGTGGCTTAAGAGGTTTGGGATATTAAAGTTTGCTGGTATTAAATACATAAATATGTAAAATTCAACTTTTTGCAGTTACATAGAAAATACTCTGTGTGAAAGCAACCTGACTCCCCTTTGTCCTTTGCAGTGTATCCTTTTATAGATTATAGCAGTTTTACTCTGTTCTAATTTTCAGTTGTTGGGGTTTTTTCTTTAACATGTTGAGAGTGAAGCTGGCAGCATATAGAGTGAACAAGTAGTATTTATATGTCTTCATGATTTTTAAAATCTAGACTCTTTTCAAAATTGCTTTCAACTTTCTTTTTTTTATTTTTTTTTTTCCAAATCTGTGTATTGATTGCACTCCATTTGTTCTGTATTTTGTAAGTCTCCTGGGCAGGTACTCTCCTGTCTTCGTGTTTCCGCAGAGCCTGGCAGGGACTCATAACTGGGAGCCCAGGTTCTACTGAAATGTAGTAAATACAAGAGTAACCTGCATCTCCTGAACCTCTAACATCCAAAGCGTTAGCTCTTACACCACCAAATGTATGGTCAATTACATGTGTAAGCTTTACTATTAAAATAATTGTGTGCATTGTAAACTACAAACCTTGTCACAGTAAGAAGTGGGAATTGCTTCGGTCCTCAGCAGCAATGCCAGGTTCCAGCATGGCTCCAGCTGGAAGTGGCTGAGCACTGCAGAATGGATTCACTGACTCAACTCTTGTTGGACTTGAGAGAACATCTCGTGGTCACCCTAATCTATGTTTCATGTCTGTAACTTTAAATTATAACACAATAACCTGTTCTCTTTTAAAGTGTGTTTCATTTCACAAGGAAAATCTTAAAACATTAATTACTATAAAAAGCCTCATAGCTTCCTTGTACAAGTGTAAATCTTCAGTACTTTGCAATTTACAGCAGCAGTTAAAAAGAGACTGTTCACAAAATCAGAGAGTAGTTGAAGTAGAAAGAGTCCTCTGAAGTTCATCTAGTTTAACCCCCACTGCTCAAAGTGGCATCAGCTAGAGCAGGTTACTCAGGACTGTGTTCAGATGGGTTTTGAATATTGCTGGTGGCAGAATTTGACTGAACATGTGTGCGTGTCTGTGTGTATAGACACACATGTATGCATACATAGATGGCCAAAGAAAGTACTTCTTAGTGAATGAAACCCGTTTGACTCTACTTAAAAAAGAAAAGAATCCACAATATGTATGACCCACCCTGTGTATGATCATCAAACTGAAACATCTATATAGCATTTCTCCCACAACATTTTAAAATGATGAACAACAAATATAGAGTCAAATTCTGTCCTGTGTCCCTGCCCTGGGCAGCTTATTACAGATGGTTTTAACAGTCTTTCTTGGACCCATGTGTCAGATTAAATGGTAGAAATACCAACTGGATGATAATGTAGTATCATTTCTGGAAGTATTGGCTTTTAAAGTTAATCTTCAATGGGATGCTTTACTGTAGGCATGTGCATACATTAGATAACCTTGGCATGCAGAGAGTATTTTAAGACCCACATAATTTTGAAACACCCTTTAATATTCACTGAAGGTCACGATACATTCCATGCACATAAGATCAGAAACAGACCTTCCAGGCTTATTTTACTTCTTGGGATAGATGCTGAATTGGGAGTCCACAGTGGTTTTCTGTTTTTCTGTAGGACGATTAGCATGGCACAAGAAGCTTTTCCATGATGTTCCACTGACATCTGAGCACTGTTCTAGGGCAAACACCTCGCAGAGATGCCAAGGAGAATAATACGTACAACTTCCTTCACATTCTTATCTTTTTAGATGAGATTTTCAAAACAAATGCTGCCAACTAATAATGTATACTATTATGGATTCTGGATTCTTGAAGTGTGAGGTCAGAAAATTCACTTTAGTAACTAAACTCCAGCATCTGATGCTACCAGTACTGTCCAGAATCAACCTGTTAAACCGTAGGCAATACTGTCTGTAGCTACTTCTGTTATCACTTTCTATTTATCCACTGATGATACAAAAAAAATTAATAGCTTCTTCCTTAGGCTTCATGTTTAATAAACATAATTTTATATCCACAAAATAAAAGACTAACCCTTCGTAATTCAGAAATTTTTTTATAAACAATATGTTTACAGATTTTCACATTGAGTTATCTGCTGCTTAGAAGAAGGAAGAAGCACATGTAAGACTAGATTCAAAATAGTTCTGTGAAATGGATCTGGCCCGTTTATGCACCAACCTGCTACACAGGGGAGAGGAGAAAAGCAAATCCTGGCCTTCATGTCAAAACACTGTAAACTACTTTTTTGTGTGTTGACTTGTGTAAGGAGTGAGGCATGAAAACAAAAGCACAGTGCCCTGGGTAGTGGCAGTGAATATTTTATTTTACCAACAAAAAGCAACAAGAGATTAAATCCTTAAAGCATATGCTGTGCTGACAGTGCGCTCTCATTGTGACAGTAATGGCATTTGCAGTCCCAGCTGCACTCAAGCCTGTGCTGTAAAAGCACCCATTTATCAGAATGCGTGTTGCTGCCTCTTACCCTCTACCACCCCTTAGCCAGACAGCTTTTCTGTGTTGTTCATGTTGCCCCATATAAATGGATGCTTAAACTATTTTTTTTTCCCTTAAGTGACATGGGAGATGATTTTGGCATCATTAGTCCTGAAATGTTCACAGTGCCAAAAAGTATCTCTAGGTGACTTTTGTTTTTCTGTATGTAAACCAGCCTTTCTCTGACTTTTTACAAATATCCATCGTAAATGCTTTTCTAAAATTCAGTGGCTGGATCCCCACAGAAACGTTGAAGCAGGAGCACCACTGCTATTGCTGTGATTCGGTTGTGTCGGTAAGAATCTGTAAGGAGTGACTCAGGGCTGCGAGTAGCAAGTATTCACCACCTTCTGTTGGAGTTTGTTTTTACTAGATCTAATGAGTTAAGAGTTCGTGAGTTGATTATGGGTAAAGGAAGATGCTTCTCTGGGAATGTGTTTCAATGTCTGTGCGCTCCATTTTTCCTAGAACCCAGTTGTTAGGTGTTCTCTCCAGGCTAAGGCATGAGATTCAAAGGGAATTGGAGAATGTTGCTTAATAAATTATGGAGTTACTACCTCATGGTTACAGTCTTGTCATCAGTAATGTCAGACTATTCTTCATAACTCAGCTTTTTCTCCCATCTTTTATCAATTTGTAAGGTTTCTACATCCCCTGCTTAAGGTTGTTCCCCATCACTGCATCCATTCTCAGTCCAGGTCTTTTGTCTGGAGTCCCAACAGTCCCACACGGATTTCTTGTTTCCTACTTCAAATTTGAGCAGTTCAGGAAGTTTGTGGTGGTTCACTAATGTGATTAGGTAGTAGCATTTCAAGACATCCTAGTGCTACTTTGGAGAGACAGCTTTGGAGAACTTGGGTGAAAGAGCTCTAGAGAAAGTGAGGACGCAGTGTGGCAGGTGAAAAAACGTGTTCCGGGGAGCTGTGGACTGTGGTGTGGTAAAGGAGGTGTAAGCAGAAGGCACAAATTAAATCCTGGAATTACGCATAATGTGCATAATTCCTGCTAAATGCCACCACTTGGCTTCTGCATTATCCAGAAGTAAGATCAGCGAGCGGGTCACTTCCAGCTGTGCTTTGTCCTTTTAGAAGTGGGGCTGTTCAGGTAGATACACCCCATATAGCCTTAATGCAGTCGGTGGGGGACCAGCGGCAAGTGAATCTCAGTAGCAGACGCTTTGTGCCCAGGCACCCAGACCCGCTTGGGTGCTGGCTGCGGGCTGGGTTCTCAGCTCCCACAGGTTACTGCCGTTGGTGAATCGAAATTGGGAATTACCAGCATTTTTGCAATCACAGTTCTGACTGTGCTGTAGGAATCCATTTTATCCTCACGCTATGGGCATTTTGTAATCCAAACAATATGTAGGTGGGACAAAAGAATCAAAAACCATTTGCAACTATGTTTATTTTTTAAGCTGCTAAAATGTAGATTGCCATTTATCAGCAAGACCCATTTGCCTTCCAATATCCATTGATGTCCAGGATATTGCTCGATTCACTGACTAAACACTCTCAAAGTATTAACATGGCTTCTGGCCTTATTGCAGTTTAAGTTCTTTCCCCAAGTAACTATAGTCCTAAAATAATAGGGAAAAAAGTAATGCCATGGAGAAAAGTTTCTTGAGATTGAGAGGATAGGATTGCTTTTCATCTAGCAATGCCCTAATTTTATTGTAATTTTAAAACTTTGTTTTACAGATTGATTCTCCAGTCAAGCTCCAGGTGCGCTTGTTTGAGTAGCCTCAACCTCCCTATGGGCTCAACAAATGTATCACAAAATGGCATTGCTTACTGGGAATGCAGATCCTGAGTTCAGCTCCTACTCCTTCAATAACTTGGAAAACCTGTGTGAAGTGCAAACCAAGAAAGGATTCTTCTACAAAAAGGCCAAACTTCTGCACCCTGGGGAAGACTTGTGCTGCTTAGCACGCCTGGATGACCGGACCAGGTTTGTGATCATCAACGTAGGTGGAATTAAATACAAAATTCCATGGACCACCCTGGAGAACTGCCCCTTGACCAGGCTTGGGAAGCTAAAATCTTGCAACAATTATGATGAGATCATGAACATCTGCGATGATTATGACGTTAGCTGCAATGAATTTTTTTTTGACCGCAATCCTAGTGCCTTCAGGACGATCATGACTTTCCTGACAGCTGGGAAGCTGAGGCTTCTCAGGGAGATGTGCGCTCTTTCTTTTCAGGAGGAGCTTGTGTACTGGGGGATAGAAGAGGACCACCTGGAGTGGTGCTGTAAAAAGAGACTGCAACAGAAAGAGGAGGAGGCAGCCGAGGCCAGACTGTATGAAGGGGAGATGGTATTGAGTGAAACTACGCAATGTGCCTTCCAGGACAGTAGCCGATTGAGTTTGTGCATGCGAAAGCTCAGGGATATGGTGGAGAACCCCCACTCAGGGATCCCAGGAAAGATCTTTGCTTGTGTTTCAGTCTCTTTTGTTGCCATCACTGCAGTCAGCCTCTGCATCAGCACCATGCCAGATGTCAGAGAAGAAGAAGATCGGGTGAGTGCAGCTTTTCTCAGAGTAAAGCATGTTTTGCATTGTTGTCTCCTCAGGGAGGGTAATGGGCAAAGTCACTCCAGCAATCATCCAGGTATTGCATTCAGGATTTCTGTTGTGGAGGGCTGGCCGGGGTAGACCACAGAAATTTACTTAATTTTGAGGGAAGATTGGGCCAAACTCTGCCTTGCTAGCACAGCTTTGCCGATTCGCACCAGCAGACAGCTTCACCCAACAGGTTTGTTTTCTGACATCTCAAACCAGATGACAAGCTAGCTATTGTGGATATAAAAATCAGCCTTGCTTGAGGCTTAATGTTTTGAAGTTAGGTTAAGAGCTAACAGATCAGTTTTCCTTAAAGGTGCTTTAACATGAAAGAACTCTCAGTACCCCACTGTAAAAACTACATCTAAAATATTTTGGTTCTATAGGTGAGGTAAAGGGCAGGAAAGCTGAGGCAGCAATGTAACAGCAGAAACAAAGCAAATGTCCCAATTGTCAGACATGCTTAGTATTCTCAAGTGTAAGCTGTGGATGCTTCGTGCCCTTGAAAATCAAGTCTTACAGGTATTTTGTTTATTCTTTAGTTCAACAAATTTCCTAAGGGTTTAGTCCCTTATTTGTGCAAGCAGTTCGGTTTCCTGGGATTAGCTGTATGTAGGCCAGTGAGGGCTCATTCACGCTTTCATTCACACTTTCATTAAATACATGCTGAAATGCAATCTGAGAGGTTTGGGTGGTGGGGACTTTCTGAAGAGTTCATGGCCTCTTTAGTTTTACTCAAGTCCAAGCTTGACACTAAATGTTTGGGCTCGTTTCGTAGCCCCATGGTCATCTAACGCGATTTGTGAACTTCAGCTACTAAGAGAATAGTGCTTCACCCCGTCCCGTTCTGCCCTCAGCTGAAGGCTGAGCTCTCCTGAAGGCAGGACCCTTCCTGCGTGCCGTCGTGCCGCAGGGCTCATCGCATCGCTAGCCATGAAGGGAGCGATCCTTACCCGGCAGGAGGTGCTCACCATTTTGCAGCGTTGAAAATAAAAAAGCATGCTGCTGGAAAATGGGTCCAGCAACTCCAGAGAGACTCCTGCGTTTGACTGAGTACCTCACGTGTGCAGTTAAATCCACCCCTTGCTTGCGAGGTATGCTCAGGTTTGATAGCAACTGAGTTGTTTGGTTTGGAGTCAGACTCATTCAGTAGCAGCCAGGAAAAAAGACAAAACATTTGGTAGGTTGCTTGATATTTGATTTATTATAAGATCTTTGTTTTAAAGGCTTTTTATGATCTAAAATTTGAGGATAGTAGTACTGGGTACTAGTTAAAATGATATTGTCCTAATAATTTAAAAAAATACATAATTTCCAAAACATGTATCTTTTACTGTAATTAATCAACAGTGCTCCAGTATACTGGAGTTTTAAGGACCAGGTTTTAAGGACTGCTGAAAACTGAGATGTATTTATTGTTTAGATATTCCTGGGTTTAAGTGCGAGCTGAACAGTTGCTTTCAGAATTACCAGAGTTTAGGCACCTTATATTTTTACTAACGATCTGAACATAAATAGGGACTCAAACTAACAGGCTAGTAATATTTGTTGGGTGGAGCAGGTTAATAATGAGAATAGAGCAAGCATATGAGAGAAGCCTAGATTTCTTGGTAAGCCGGGCCATTAAAAGGAGTACATTTTCATAGTCAAATGCAAAATTGTACAATAAAGATGGATGCAGACTTGCTGTTGCAAAAGCAGAGTCTAATTTCCAAAATGAGACTCTAAGATTTAGGGTACAAGCAGCTGAATGTAAGTTCCTATTGCAACATAAAGTCAGAACAGTTAATGTGATCCTTGAATACCTAAGCTGGGGGGTAGTGATTAGAAGCTGGAAGACGATTTTGTGCCTGTATGCGGCATTGGTGAGACTGACACTAGAATACTGCAGTCAGTTCCCACATTCATATGGTGTTTTGAAAAATAGGAGAGGGTGGAAAAACCCATAAGTGTTAGACACCTGGAGAAAATGTCATACAACAAGAAACTTGGACATTTCAGTTTATTTAGATTATCGAAAGAAAGGTGAATGGATTAAGCAAATAAGTGGTTTTTACGGGGGGGGAGAACTTTATATCTAAAAGACACTTAAATTAAGCAGGGAGAGGATGCGTGGTTAAAAGCTGAATCCTGATAAATTCATATGGGAAACTAGGTGCCAATATTAAATACAATGGTGATTAATTACTGGATCAGACTAGTAAGAGAATTAGTGGATTTTGTCTTTTTTGATGTTTTCAGTTCAAAGCTTGGTGCTCTTCTGGAATGTACCCTTCAGCGTAATAATTCCAATGAAAAGTAAATTACTGATTTCAGTTCAAGTTACAAAGGTGAAATGCTTGCAGTACAGAAGAGATCAGAATAAATGATCTGATGTTTTTCTGTGTCCTCAAATTCTAAAAGCACAGAGCTCCTGCAAATAGGCTTTGTTCTGCCCTTTGCACAGGGAAGGTCTGTGGACAGAGTGGAAATGGTTATTTTGCTTGAAACAAAGGTGGTTCTCTAGCACAGGGGACAGGTGAAGGATCACTTCTTATGTAGCTTAGCTCATCCCCAATATTCCTTGCCTGCTACTGAATCACTGCAGGTCAACACTCATATTTGAATTGTAATTAGTCATGCCAGGAGTCATACCCAGTGACTGATTTTGGTCCTGCACAAATGGATGTAAATACCCATGTAGATTCTTTCGGGCTCAGTAAGGCTGGGTGAGGAGTGGGGCACCTGCCCACATGGAATCGCCTGCAGGCTCCAAGACCTGGGCTGCCAACTCCTTACGGGGCATCCGTACACGGCTTAGCAAGCCGATGCAGCTCATCAGCTGGCAGGTGTGGGGAGAAGAGAGCTTATGTGGGGTCAGAGTCATGGTGATCACCCTGAGCTGCATCCCTGGTAGTTTAAAATCTGTGTCCAGGGATAGCTCTTTGGTCTTGTTTTGCAGTCTCCTAACGGGCAGAAAATGTATGTGCATCCCTTCTGGCTAAGGAACAAATAAACAGTAAATAATATTTCAGGGATGCACCACACTCAGTGTGTACGTTTTCCAGGCTCTCTGGCTGGCATTACTGTTGTTAGGGTTCCATGTCAGAGCTGTCATAGGTACTCTGGCTGACAAGCAGTGGTCTTTCCCTTGAGCTGGCATTTTCCAGAAGACAAAAGCTTTATGTGTCACCTGTCTGTCCAGTTACGGCTTCAGGGAAAGAGAGGGGAACCAATCAAAAAAAACCCCCCATGCTGGAGAGCAATTTTTCATACCTGGATCCTTTAATGTCATCTGAATGGACCAGCTGTTACACCCAGTGATGTCCTGCAGAGGTGTAAGAGACCTCACAGATGTAAGCCTGGGACCCTGAAAGTTAGAAGTAATTCCCGAGTGGGTTAGGAAATTATTTGAGGTGCCTCCCTATCTCTTTTAAAATACAGAAGAATAATCAGTCATACATTTTGTTAACTTTATTAACTGCTCCAGATGTTCTGGAAGACAGTGGCCATCCCCAGTGGTTTAGCAAGGGTGGGAAGGACCGCGTGCGTTCCTGTGTACTGTAGCTGTCTTGTTCTTACTAATGGTCACCCTGATTCAACTCGAGCCTTACTCTTTTTTGGAAGTAGTATCGTGCATTTTAGGTGCTGCAGTTACCAAAAAAGCTCACAGAAACATATCCTAAACTACTTTTTACTTACCAAACCAAGACATATATTTTATCTTGTCATTTTTTTTTCTCATTTAGTTTTTATTTACTGATTAAATTAAATAAAAACCACCAATCCAGTAATGCACATAATAGCTGCTTCTGGAGATTTCAGGAAAGGGACACCTCAAATGTGTAAAGAAAACAAGCCTGTGAAGACAGTCAGGTTTTTCCATGTAAAGTAACAAAGCAATAGTTAATTTTTAAGTTCAGAATTTTCAGAATGGGAGATTTCTATACAAGATCTAGATTTAACGATGAAAAGTTCCATCTTAAGACACAATACTGCTGAGACAAAATCATAGCAGGAGCTCTCAGGCACTGAGTTCTCTCAAGACCACCACAAAAATGATCTCCAAGACATAAAACCAGCCAGAGGCATAGAGTATCTTTAAGGCATTTTAGGCATATGATAACTAAGTGGGCTTCTCAACTCTCTAAACAAATGGCAGGCATCGAGTGACTCAAGGAAAACAGCTAACACATCACAGGAGTCTTAAACCACACTGGGGGATACATCACAGCAAAAGCTTTAACACACAGACAGGGCTGAACAACCAAAAGACATGCAGAGATTCCACTGAAAGCCAGATAGTCATCATACTAGACTCTTCATTTTTTTCTTGGTGAAAACAGACATGTCAAGCATGTCTATCTGAAGAAGAAAGATTCTTTCTTTTGTTAGGCAGTCTTCCTCATCATAGAGAAAAGGTGGTGAACTCAGAAATTAACATCAGGCATTTTGTCCTGATTCACAAAAGCATTTATAGGCCTGAGTCCAGCTGAGTTCAGTCATTCATAATACCACAGTATAAAACAGGAGAAGAAGATCAGAGAGTGCTTCCTTCTTCACCGTGCTTCCTAACATATTGGGAAAAGCTAGACTAATTAAAGATGCTGCGATAGGAAGTCACAGTTCAATAACCTTCAGCTGAAGAACGTTACAACAAAGAGAGACTCATAAATAATGAAGTTAATAATAGCTCATAAAGAAGCCTGAAACTATTTAACCTTCTAAGCTTAATTTACACACTGTGCTTCAACTTTCATATTCGTGAGGATGGGGAATAGATAAATTGTAAATCTGCATTTTAAACAATCTTGTGACTAAAGATTTAATTTCACAAAGGTACACATAAAAGTAATTCCAGCCAAGATTAAGAGGGTCTTGTATAATGGTTCTCAACAGCGTTTCATTGACTAGCTGTTGATGCAGGAGCTGGATGAGCCACGAGGTTGGCTGAAAACTGGATGAATGGCCGAGCCCAG